AAGTAAAGCTTCAAGGTAAACACGAAAGGTGGCCCTGGTTACGCAAACGAAAGAGAACGGATCATTTACCGAGGCTGAGAAGATTCGTCTCCGTCTTCTCGGTATTGTACACTTCATAGAAACTGTCCACTTGGGTCTGTGACTCGCATCCTGCTTCCATCGCGAAAATAAATCACGACACACCCACTGCTTTCAGAACGTCGAACTCCGCTCTACGGATTTCCGGCGGAATCGGAACCGCGGCCGGGGGACACCCACGGGGAACTAAAATTTTTCTGCGTGCACGCAGGAGGAATTAATTTGTCACCTCCGCGAGATACCGGCCCGGAATCGCGCAGGAGACGCTGAATCAGCGATAAAAAAGAAGAAAAAACAACGTTCACACCTATGTATGCGCAGAACAACCGGCGATAAGTTTACCAACACTTCGAGCACAGGCAATTCGACGCGCTCGCGCGATCGGAAAAAGCGTGTTATCGATAAAACGAAACGAGCTTTTAGATTTTCCCTTACGGCGTGCGTTCGAGCACCCGACGATAATCCTCGACGATTCGATTAAAGTGTCACGTGTCGCACGGGATACGGAAAGGATTAACACGTGCACGCGCGCGAACGCGTCTGGCACGATCGGTGAAACGGTACTGATTGTCAATAAAGTTACTCGGTAAGGCGACCGGCTTTGGGACCAGAGAATAGAAACCTGGAGGAGGCGAATTGGCCTGGAGGAGGAGAAAGAACAGGAACATGGAGGGAGTATTCTCATAACGAGGGAAGTAGGAACGCGACGGCTGGTTCACGATGGAAGTGTAACCTAGTCGGCTCCGTGGCGCGAGCTACGGAGAAACGTATCGTCGCCGCAGAACGTGTTTGTGGGCTGTGTACATGTGCGTGTATGTACGATAGTCCCGAATCGAGTAAGCGCACATGGGTCTTCGTAGAATGGGAAGCATTCTCTGAACAGTTCTAGATCGTCTGACACTGTTCTACGAAAGTTACGGAAGCTAAGGTCATCGTAACTGTGCTCTCAGACCTATTAGTTACGAAATATTATTTCTGCACCTGGTGCAGACGTGTATGCTAATAAAAGGAAGATCACGTTATTTATATTTGTATTTTAACTCACATGTATTTGCATTAATACTCTGGGATATTAAACCGGGAATAGTAAACTATTGAAAACGGTCGACTACCGTTGTAACATGAGTCATCTTTCGATCGATAAAGTAGATCAAACATTTACTGTTACGAATGTAAACAAACGATTGTTTAATTGTTTGCACAGGACTTGCAGCTCGTAACCAAGTCTAGTGAGATAGAAAGAAAGAGAGAGAGAATTGTCGGTTTACGTTGTACATTTTTATAGGATTCACGTAAAAAGCTTATCGAACGACCAGCAGCCGTCCACTTGAATGAAACAATATTGGCAAGCAGCCTGCTGGAGCTTTCCCGAATCTATTTTACACTTATGAATCATACGGTCGATTCGGCCGTCAATATTGCGTAGTACGCGTAACGCAAGATCGCTGTAACTCTCCGAGCAATTACCCGTCCATCAAACGGGGATATATGATCGATAAATCATGTAAGAGTATTCTAGCTCGTACGTGACCTTCGCGTAAATGGGCACAGGATCGCGATTGTCGCAGTACGATTCGTAAGATCGTCGCTGGAATTCGTGCGATTCTGCTTAATGCTGTTAACGAGAAATTACCGGATGAGTCAAAATGCACGCGTAACGTTGAAAGTTGCGGTCAAATCGGGAGAAATGTGTTTTCATTATTTTACACGGGAAATGACGCATCGGTAGTTTTAGCTGCTTAGTAGTTCTGGCGTTAATATTACGACCATCGGTGCAAGTACTTCTGTACTTCAGGTCTCTTCTCCCGAAAAGCAGAGCGTACGACCGGACAGACAAACCTGCACAGTGCAGCTACTTACTGATATATTGTTCCCAGCGTGCGTGTTTCTGGATGGTCGCCAAGCGAACCGGCGTTATTGGTGACACGGGTCTCATAATCTCGGTCATCTTACTGAGCTTTCAACGGTGTGACATCAAAGTCTGCCGAAACGGAGAAAACGGGAACGGATTCGATCGGTTCTAGTTACGAGTGTATCTGCGAAGAACAAAACGATCAGCGAGACGGTCGCCTTTGACCATCCGTCTCCTGAATTCACTGAGCACTGATTTCCGTGGACCCTACGACCGATTATAAACACAGAGGAGGAACAGCGATGTCGAGATCGCAATTCGAACAAAGGGAAAACGTTAAAAATAAATGTCGCTCTGTTGCCAATTACGTTTATTACAGACTTTATGCACAACCAAAAACCGTGAGCACGTGTTGCCGCGGTGTAAACAAATGCAAAAATAAATGCTCAAGGGAAGAGTGTCTTTCTTCTTCGAGAGAAACCAATGAAAGAAGATAGTGTATCATAGAAGAGCGGAATGAAATTATTGGGAACGATGCAGCAGCGATTATGAAACGAATCACTGTATTTCCGCACTCTAATTCGCGGGAGGATCTGAAAAAATTACGGGGGGTTGCTCACGTGCGAGAACAGAGAGTGTCGGGTTAGCGAGCAGATTATCGATAGGAGCCGCGGATGTGCTGCGGGATGGGATGAAACTGGCAACACGTGTTGTTTTTCAGGCTGCATCTATAGAATCTGTGTTACGTGAATTCATCTCCTCCTCCCTCCTCCATCCCTATTCTAACATCCCCCACTTCAACTTCGTCGTTCTCCATCTCCGTTACGCGTTTTCATTTACATACGATAGTCATATAGTTTTCACCTAGATCTTCACCGACGCCGAACAAGCGCCGACAAACTTCCCAAAAATAACTACATCTGTGCAGAGACGTAGCGTGGCTAGTACATCAAGGTTCCAGGATAAACAGGACTGCTCCGGAAACTTTGAGAAACCGGGAACTCCTGGTCGTTGACGACGCTTCCATTTGAAGCGATGAAATAATTCGTTCTAGCGTTAATTCGCTCGATTGCCACCCTACTATTCCACATTTTATCATCGAATCTACCATCGGACTTGAACGTCAAGTATAATTTATTCATGCAATTACGTTCGACTGCGTAGGAAGTTGAATGACGCGGGGTCCTGCCTGATATGGACTCGCGTAGATCGATCACGGCGCGATTCAGGAAGAAGAAATACCTACGCAGGCTTACCTTGGATCACTAAATGATTTTCAATGTAATGACATGCGCTGTCAACAAGCGTAGCTTCCGTGCGACCATAAAGAAGCTTTCAAGACCCGATACATCGTGATGGGAGGCGTAGGAATGCACAAGCGTATAAATAGCAACAGAAAATTCCAGGAGAAATTATATAACTTTCGTCGATAATCGTAAATAACAGAAGTTTACCTTTGATTCGGATCGTTGTGTTTACATTTATCATTGTTTGCACAATTGACAGTGAAGTGCCGTCAATAAAGAAGAAACCCGTAATCGATAAGGCAGTACTTTGCGTCGAAGCTGACGCTACGATTATCGGATAGATGGCGCGGACTCGAGAACCGATACGTGGGTATTTTTAATTCGAACTTCATTCGATGGGTACAGAGATCGGTCACATTCTTCGAAGCACGTATTTCCATAAAAAGATCGTCGGTAAATAATGACTTGAACAATTATTTCAGAAAGTTTAGTGTCAAGGCAACCCACATTGTAGGTGAAAGGTATTCTTTAAAAAAAAGAAAAAAAGAGTTATCTTGTGAACCGTTGCATCGTGAGTCAGCCGTTTAGACGGAATTAAATGGGCGTCTTAAAAATAATTTGGAAACGGTTACAGTAATTTTAGAAATAATGAACGGTACGATCCGACGCTGGTTACGTATCAAAGTAACTAATTTACGTGTTAACCTTTGAAAATATGCCAGAAATACAATTTTGACAGTGATTCAAGTGCACTATAAGCTTCTAGAAGCGTACAGATACGCGATTCACGGAAGAACAGCATTTGTGAATAAAATTGAGTAATCATTCGAGTAGCTACGGCTCGCACTTGAATCAAAGGTTATCGCGTCGCTGAACCTATCGTATTTCTAAACCGATCACTGAATGAACAACTACAATACCGTGGAATTTACGCGTCTAGTGTAAATATTTAACGAATCATCCTGGACAACTTGACAATTTTACTATGCACGAGAACGTGAACCTATTTTATTTGAATCTAATAAAATGTTCAATTCCACGTCTACGAATTAATCCGTAGTATACCACTGCCAAACCTCGTAGGAGTAAGAAGATCGTTTGATTCGTTTGTTATTAAATATTTTGACGCGAGCCGCGAACCGACGAAAAAGGATGAATTCTATGACAGGCAATTGAGCTTAATTCGAAAGACCGCTGTGACACATTATCGCGCGGATCCGCGAGTCCGAGGTCTATTTAGAAATGTACCGCATTCGTATCACAGAAAGACCCGCGAGACTAATTTCTAATTCATATTCCGAACAATGTTCTTATTAGACATGCAAAGAGGTCGCATATGTATATAGTAGGAGGAAAAAATATTCATACATTACAGATTGCTAGTCGCAAATGTTAACATTGACACTAGTTTAACGTTACACAATGTCCTAGTAAGATACTTTGTTATCCAATCGTTTCGACGACGAGAAATAATAAAAAATAAATGTTTCATAAAAACAGGACTGTGGGTGTTAATCAATCGAATTATATTCCGAAGTAGGAAACTTTTCTGTCGAGCTGTCATTCCGGTGACGAGAAACAGCGGCATATGAATGTTCTCTTGCGTTAGTAGAAGCACGCGTGTATTCGCGAGTACAAGGAACGGTTTACTAACGTCCACTCGTTTCTTACATCCTCATTTAGAAAACAAGAACGGGTTAAAATAAGCACGGTAAAATCAACGAACGTAAAAGTAAGTGATTGGAAACTCACACCCAGGAGGCAATCCCTTTTTGACGGTAATTTTGTAGGGCTGATAGATAGCGCCTGGATCTACTTTCCCGTACATACTTCTATCCATCGCCATGATTTCCCCGTTTCGTTTTGTTTCTCACGCACCACTTATCAATTGTTGCACCGATACTTATCAACTTTCTCGCACACATGCAGAACCACGAATCCACTGCGCGATGCACGAATATACTATTATGCAGCAGTTTTACCGCGGCAATGTTTCTCTTTGCAGTCTATCACGAGCGACTCAGCTGTATAGACGATCGATAGGTGGCGGGGATGCACACGCCAAACAGCCACTTGTTGAATGCCGTTTGCGAATTTTACACATTACGAGCACGCGAGTGCTTCGATTCCCCGTATACCGGTCTCCGACAAATTATTCTGGGAACGATTGTATCCATTGATCGATAACTTTTTACATAGGAGTCTCTTTTGCCACGTCCCAATAAAGATTTTATTTTATCTGTCAAAGGGTACTTAAGGTCCGCAGTTCAAACAGGGCCAATTGTTTCCTAAACAGTCACTACCCCATCCCTTGACACTAGAATTACCAAGCAGTCGTGATACCCGATCGGTACTTATAGAAATTACGAGAGTGGTTTTTAAGATTTCTCACGACTTGTACTGTAATGAAATTTGAAATTAGTCTGTTCCGAATGGTTTAGCAATTCTGCCGTTAACATACAACAAAACGATGGACGTGTGTACTATCAACTGTCCCGTGATGAACCGTGCTTGACCAAGGGAAAACGAGAAGTTCAAACGTGCAAGTATATTTCAGGCGCTCGCCCGTAATCGCACGCCGTCGAACCTCCTCTCCCCGCAACGCCAAAAGCACGAGGGACAACGCTGCTGTAAATACACTAAAAATACGTGGAATCGTTGGCACATGACAACTCAGAAAACACTAGTTCGCGATATTACATGTACTCCGGAGGCAGCCCTTCCGGTTCAGGCTCTCGTCTCTCCATGACAATCCTTAATCGCTTATCCGAGGAAGATAATACTCAACGATACATTCAACAGCTTTTCGTTTTCTATTTATCTATCTGCGTATTCTTTAATTACAGTGTATCGAAGTACTTGATTGCGCTTGCATCGGTTTATTCTCGACTCGTATGGGGAAAAGTAAACTACATGTATCATTTTTGTTTGTTCTTCGTTGTATTTATACTAACATCGAGGTTCGAAAAGTTATTTAATTAAGAAGGTACGGTGCCTTTTCAACGTTTTTAATACCTCCGAATGACGTTAATTGTATATTTAAGGGGTATTCAAATTAAACTTAAATTTTATGAAATATACAAATAAATCTAATATGATTTCACTGTACTGAATTTATGGTTTTTCAACAAGTAATTAGTTTTACATGCGCGAAAGGATAACAGAACTTTAAAGAAATTGTCAATGACATGTTTATTTGTATTTCATGTTATTGTGACCCGATGTAAATTAAGTACCCTATGTACGAGAACGGAATAACTGAGAAACGAGAGAGACGGGTGAGGATGCAACAATGATGAAATGGAGATGATTTCTTTAGGTTTTTATAATATTTTAACAGTGCATTTGAATTTTGTAACGGGATGTGATACTGATCAATTTAACGGATAAAACACAGGCGAGCAAGATTACGAGTTTATAATTAAAGGTTATAGAATATATTTGCACTCTTAAATGGAAACTTAATAGTGCTATATAATTTCCTGGATATAGTTATAAATATCATGCTATAAGGAAGCAAACATCTGTCAGATAATTTATCAGTGTTCTGCCTAAAAAATTGTCAACTTATAAAACAGAGAGAATAAAATGCATAGGCTCGCTTCTTTTTACTTTTTATAAACAGTTTTATGGGAATAAACATTAAAATAACATTTATACCGTACACTGTTAAAAGAAAAAAAATTATATAAATATATATTTACGCGTGTAACGACACTCTGACAGTCTAAGATTCAAATTTGAGGTTAACTTAATATTAATACGTTCAATTTTAAAGTTACTCACCTAAATCGTCCATACTTAATATATGTTGATCTTCTGTACACGAATTCACAAATTATGCTCAAATTTTGATAATTTCGATGATTTACTGGGGAAAAATGCGTAAAAACCGAATTCTCAACCAACTCGTCCGAGTTTGGCAAACCAAACATCAAATATGGAGAACCCGGTCCTTAAACACACAATTCCCATTTATCTTGTCTACCCCTTAGAGAAAATAGTAACTTGGGATTTAATCTTAACGTCCCCCTTATCTCTTTTATTATAATGTATTTACAACAATAGTAGAAACATACAAATAATACTTTATTTATGGCATCAGTTGAAATATACAATGATAAAATTATTGTACAATAATTTAAATTATTTTACCACGAAGAAAAATCATTAAATGAATTTGTCACAAGCTTCTTCTTCTTTGTCACAGGTTCAATATTGGACTCTGTCTTTTCCATTCTATAAATAAAATAAAATAGTTAATAATGTCCTAGCATGTTGCAAACCTATGTAAGTAGGTATACATGTAACTCTATATGTATTTTAATATTACTTTTCTTCATCTTTGTTCATCTTGATATATTTTCCTACACCCGATCGGTATATTTTCAACTCATTTTTCTCCTTTTTACTGAAAGATTTATTTTTTGCTGCTTCTTGAGCTAACCGCACTACTTCAGCCGCATGTTCAGCGGTCAACTGTTCGTCTGCTTCTTGAAAAGGATCAACAAAAAATTGAGCCTTCTGAATAATTATATCCTCTATTGGTCTATCTTTGTTATCAACTTCTACTTTTTCGATAGCATTTAAGGTTTCCAGTCCACCCACTATTTTGCCAAACACAGTATGTTTTCGATCTAAATGTCTACACGATCGAAAAGTGATGAAACTGTAATGAAAATAAATGTAATTAGAAAGAGTATTTATAAATATATAGAAATACATTATAGAATTTATACAATTGAGATCCATTTGTGTTGGGACCAGAATTTGCCATTGATAAAATTCCTCTTCCTTGATGAATCAAGTTTGGTTTAAATTCGTCTTCAAACTTTTTGCCCCAAATAGAT